TAATCATATATTATTGGATGATGTAGACAACCAGGAAACTTTGACTTACGAACCAGTTTACTAATGTTCGTAATTTGCACAATGACGGAAATTATTTTAAAATAAATCACTTGTTGGTGGAGAATCAAGAAATAAAGTAATTTCATTAAAAAAGGCGAGGTTGGATTTTGAACTGGAATGTGCCATACAAACTTTACAGTAATATATGATACACTAACTCACGTTAACAAGAAATGGATGGGGTAGATAACCTATATTTCTCCTAAACTCCAAGAAAGCTTGATACGGTTCCCCACTGACGGCTACTTATACTGGAAAAGCATGGTTAAGAAACCACTAAACAGCAGAAAGCAGAGTTGGTGTAAGGTCAAAGAAAGTATCAGGACTGGAGAGAGTAACTAGGAGAGTTCCCAAAAAATCAATGTCGGGCATCATGTTATTTTTAGTATGGATAAAGGATCTGAAAACAGATTTAAGTTTGTCCACATATATATATAAATTTTATTTTTTTTTGCTGATAATGCTAACTTAATGAGAGTACAAACTAAAGAGGGTATGATTATGCTGCAAAAAAAATGATGGTGACTTCTGGAACTGCCGCAAAAGATAGAGGCTGAAGTCCGAGTTGCATTAAAATAAATGTCAGAATATCCATTATATCAAAATTTGTGAGCTGAGGTGTATATCAACAGAATAACATCAGCAGCACAGACCAATTTTTCAAACATAAGTGTGTCATTCAGGAACGAGCCACAGACTCATTCAAAACACTCTTTACCTTATATATGTGATTTATTCGTGATGAAGCAGCACCGATGTGGAACTCTTACCTAGCACAAAAGTGAAAGTTGATATCAAAGAAGAGCATCAAGATTAATAGCTAACCGAGGGGATAAATAACATCGAAGAAAAATTGTGAGAACTAAACCCAAGAATCAATGTAGGAGAACAAGACTGTAGTGAAACACGACATATCAAATACTTAAGGATACAGACTAGATAGACAATAATAAACTCAACTAGGAATTCAATAACAGCAATGGGACACAGTTGGAAATTATAGATCCTAATGAGCAACTGAGATGTTATGAAGTATTTTTTCCTCAAGGCTGGAGTGGTAAACAAGTAGACTGAAGGTAGCAATAACAAAGTGGAAGCCAAATACATATAGAGGTTCAATAACAGACAGGACAAGACTCTTTCTGGTCAGGCGGACCTAAGTTAAAATGCGGATCCAGGAAATGGAATTCAGTCCTTCCCAAACCTCCACCCACAAACTCAAAAAAAATGAATACATATAGGTAACCCCCCACATACTCAAGCACGACACAAACACATAAACACAAACATACACACACACACACATATATATATACACACACACACACACACACACACACACACACACACACACACACACACACACACAAGATAAATGCACTTATCTTTAAATGAAGGCTCGCACACCATCACCGACCTGTTCCATTACCATCTGAAAACTGATGGGGTCGTGACTTAATGCACGCCATTGTAGAAATGGAGTATCATTAACGTTCAGACTCGATGCTCCTTCACTGAAATATCAGAGCAGTTTAAGTTATGATTTAGTGCACACTAGCTTTAATATTCATAATTATCCTCGGGTGTCACTTTGGCTACAACTGTCGAACTCTACTGCAATGATTTTAATTTTTTAAGTGCATTTTGCATTGAATAGCATTGCATTGTTTTGTATATTAGAGAAATGCAGTGTGACGAATGTACAGAATTTAATGTACTGCATTACTTTTAATTTTGTATTGTTATACAGTGCATTTTATCATATTGTACAGTACTGTATCTCATTAAAGTGAGAAATCTCTGACAACAAATCTCAAAGTATTCTCAGTGTGTTGCAGAGGGAAGAAAGATAGGTAATGTTGGGTTATCTGTTAGATAATAAGACTCGGAACCTCTTTGTACACACTGCCAGAAATGAAGCTATTAAAATGCGATAAAAATAATGAAGAAGATTCCGCTTCTAATTGGCACACATCAGGCGAGGTACCGAAAGTGGGGATACGGGGAGGGATTATGAGGGGGAGGAGAGAGAAAGAGGGAGGAAGAGAGAGAGAGAGAGAGAGCGAGTGAGAGAGAGAGGCCGAGTGAGAGAGAGAATGGAACGAAAGAGGAAAGGGGGAGCGAGTGCTGGAGATGGAGGTAGTTGGAAAAGAGAAGGGGAAAAATCAAGCGAGGGGAGTAGAGGAAAGGGATAGGGAGGAAGAAATGAAAGGGAGAGTCGGGGAGAGTGGTGGAGAGGAAGGGAGAGGGAGACTAATGAAGGAGGGAAAGGGGACAATGAAAGTAAATACAGACAGGTAGAACGGCAAGCAGACAAATGGACAGGCAGCAAGGCAGGCACGCAGGTAGGCAGACGGGCAGGCAGACAGGCAGACGGGCAGGCAGGCACGCAGACGGACAGGCACGCAGACATGCAGACGGGCAGGCAGGCAGGCAGGTA